CTGAACAAAAACATAGATAGTGAGGTTTATTGTAATGCTAATAAGTTTCCAAACCATCTCCTGTATTAACTATGATCACATGCAGGCCACTTTTGCAGTAGCTACAACAATCCTGGCAAAAATTATTGTGGACACCACGTGCGTCAAACAAAAATAGATATATTTCTACAGAATTAATCCCCAGAAAATTTCTCCCCCTCCTACCCCCAATTCGATGTTGGTAAATGAAACTTTTAAAATTCAAATGCGAGAAACAACATTGTATAGGGGGCAGGGGGCGACAAATTTCATAAAAGAACGTCGCAATGTTAATTAATATTGGCGTTAGAAAAGTTAGGTGTCCACAACAGGTGGGCAATTTGTCTGAGCATGCGCGAAGAAAGTCAATATGGCGACATATATTTAGTAGTGCTTCGTGGGTTTATCTGGTTTTAAAGCTGATAAATTAAAAACAACATTTTAATGAACGAAAACTTTGTAATATTTAGTGGAAAAGATTAAGCTGTACAGTCCAAAGATTTTAAATTAGAAACAAGTACTTTTGCTTTATTTTATTGCTTTTTATGCTTTGAAAACAGGCAAGCTCATGTTTTTGAAAAATTCTAATCTAATATTTTACCCATCAGTTGTCTAATCTGAACAGAAATAGATAGAACACTTGGCTATATAAGTTCTAAAAGTACTGTTAGCTGATCTGAAAGATTTCAGTATTCCTGGTACACATTTTAACAAATAATGAAATGTAATTTTAAAAATTAAATATGCATATCAAAAACAATAGTTTTTATTAGAACAACATAGAATAAGTTGTTATTTTCTATTTTTACAAAAACAAGTTTGGAAACAGGATCTGGCCCTCCAGCTTGATGTCATATTCCATTTATTTGGATATTTGAATAAAGGAATGTGAAATAATAATGGTAGTTGGCCAATATCTGATATCAACACTCAAGTGAACAGATACTATCACCTAAAAATAAAAGAAAACAGAACTTAAATTTATCATCTAATGCTATGAAAAAAATCTTAGATTCTACAAGCATATAGTGAGCACAATTCTTTAACAAACTCACTAAAATCTAAGTTATACTACGATAAGAGGATGGCAATAGATAACAACATCAAATGTTGTCATCTTCAGTGTCCAAAAAAAGTGCCGCGTGCATTTTTCATGGTCGCATAACTGGTATTGCCACAAACCCAGGTGAAAAAGCAATTAGAAAAACCTGGTTTTGGGTAATGAGCATAGTCAAATTCTTGACTTATTCAATTTTCTATGTTTTTCCAGGTAAACAGATTAAACATTGAAATAAGCCGCATTCGGGGCTTCATGGAATCCAAACTATTGTGTATGGACCAGACTTTTTTCAATTTTCTGTGATTTACATAACACTAGTTATAATTTAAGGGTCAACCAGTATTGTTCAAGACATATTATCTTTCCAAAACACCTTTTCAAAATACTAACCCAAGCATATCAAAAACAGTGTACATTTACAAGGGCAATTTCAACCCTCTGGCACATTTTTCCCATGAATGATTTCAATTCTAATAGAAAGACTATAGATAAAACTTTGATTTAAAGCTAGTTTCAAGTGATGAGCATACCCTAATTCTTAAGCTATACCTCAAAGAAGATGGGCCATTTCAACATAAACATTGAAATATGGGTATACTGACAGCTCTGTCACACGAGTAGTTTGACATTAGCAGCCCTTCTGAAACATTTTACTGAAAGTATAATTCACAAAATTCACATTTTCACTTACTTCTTAACATCTGTTTTAATCCAACTAGATCTGTAGGCACGAGCAAAATTTAGTGTTGATGTAAATATCCATTTAGTTCATGTTTCCCCAGTGAAAATATAGTCTATTCCAACCCTGATTTCGACGTACTTTAGCTTTTCAGAAACCGTTGGCCTTCCTCAGTGAGATTATCAACTGTTTCACAAACATATTTGATAGTAAACAGCTAAAATATTCTCCGAAAGTCAGTATTTTACTATTTTTGCTCTTCGACGCGAAAATGGCAACTCAAGAAGAAATGAGCCGCTATTTCCGGTCAGCGTCGACAAATTGCCCACCTGTTGGTGCAGCCGTTCCTTGCGTTATCAACAATATAGTATTGTAATTATCAACCGTTATCAGCAATAAGTTATTGGGTTGTAACCCTAACCCCCACCCTAACCTCTAACCCCCACCCCCTAACCTCTAACCCCCTCTCCCTAACCCTAGCCCCAGGGTAGAGCTGCTGGGAACCACGCTCTGAATTCTGAAACAATATGGCGTTCGCGAGCTGTTGCATGTTTGTATTAATTTCGTACAGAACTACAGAAGATTTTAATATTAAGTAAACCAAATATTTCAACACGTATGTTACTTTAAACGATCCAAAGGATACTTGCTCAAATATTTTAAGGAGAAAACGCCAGAAACTCAGGTATAGATAAGAAATTAAAAATTGTATTCGCGTAATAGACTCTTTGTGAGTTCTTTAACTTTCGGTATAATATATCATTTATAGACCCTCCGCTCGGGGGATTCGGCGATATTTCCCTCAGTGATGATATTTTCCTCGGGGCAAAGCCCCTGGGAAAATATCATCACTTCGGGAAATATTACGCCAAATCCCCCTCGCTCCGGGTCTATAAATGATAAATATTTTTTCAGATTTAAGCTTTTGCAATCACGTGCTATTTTGAATACTCTAGTAGCATCCTTCAGTTGTGCTGTACCTCGCAAGACTATTCAAAATTACACGTCCGAGCATCATGGGCGGATTTACTGAGGGGGTTAACCCCCCCCCCCTCTCTAACCCCTATTTATATAAAGTGTTCAACCCCATCAAAATTTTGGTTCACCTCTCCTATGTTGTGTGAAGCTCGTTCAAAGGTGCCGCTTGCACCCCACCGAAAATTTTTCTACTCCCCCCGCTTAAAAAAATGAAAAACCGCTCTTGCCGATCATGTTGGGCAAATTCGCATGAAATTAGTAAACAAAGACAGTCTATTCATGAATCTTTAACAAAATGGGATTTGAAAATGTAAACTATGCCTTATTAACTTGTGGTTGCCATCGATGTGCCACAAAGCTAAAGGAGAAGGGACTGAATGCACTCTTCGGTGTATAACATTCATTTCTAACGCACGAAGAAGGGTCCCTTGAGGATCAACACGCCGCATTGATTCCCGAATTCTTTTTTGCTGTATTCGGAAGCCTCTCGTTCGCAGGTAGCCAGACATTCGTTTATAGCCAGTGTTCGGCAACGTCGCCAAGATCTCGAGAATTGTTGCATCTAATTGCCAGTAAAACGTCTTTCAACGAGAAAATTCAGCTGTTCGTACGAAATGTTAAATTTTGGTCTTCCTGGAGACCCGCTAAAAATTCGCTCAGTCGTATCGTTGTTTGCCGTTTCAAACAAGCATGTTAAACATGCCAACGCTTCTGAAATGTGGTCGACTAAAACCCACTCGATAAGATTAGTTTGATGATACCGTACCACCAAACTCAACAACCATTCTAATCTCTGTTGTAAATTTTCCAGGTTTCCGTTCTCTGCAACTCGTAGTTCTAGTTCGTGCATGATATTTAGAATACAGTGCCTAATACGGTCTCTTACTTCCCTTCCAAAGTCTTCATCGCCGTCCGCCAGGTTTGTACTTTGTTTTAACTTTGTTGTCTCGTTCCAGTTTCTCGCGGTGGTTACCAAAATTTGTTTACTGCGAGTCATGCCGAATGTCGATTCTGCCGAACGTTGATTTTGGCGATTGGCATTTCCGCAGAATGCGATTCAAACGAAAATATCGAATTGCACAAAAATGGCAATAGAATTGCAAAATGGCAAACAGAATTGCAAAGTTGTATCCATAAACTACAAAATAGCAAAATGAATTGCATGGCACAATTGCATAATTGCATGGCACAATCGCATAATGGCATGGCACAATCGCATAATGGCATGGCACAATCGCATAATGGCATGGCACAATCGCATAATGGGGCATTGTCTAATTTTGGCGGTAATCACCCCTCATAAATACGATGTTTGCGATGTTACTCTGAGTGTATATTGTGAAAAATATGCTTGGCCACGGTTGGAATCGAACCTACGACCTTTGGGATACTAGTCCAGTATCCCACTATACTGTAATATCCCAAAGGTCGCGGGTTCGATTCCCATCATGGTCAGGCAAACTTTTCAGGCTGCCCGGTGTGGATGTACACTCAGAGTAACATCAGAAACATTATATTCACCTGAGTACATGATATCAAAACACACACAAAAAATTAGAGTTACTGTTATTAAAATTTTTATTTTCGTAAACGAAAATGCTCTTTAAAACTGTATAGCAACTTTTTTGAAGGTTTTTGTTCCCATGCTTAGTTCTTGAGATATTTCATTTTTGTATGTAACTATGTCATTTGCTCGATTACATATATAATGAGAGATCAGTAAATGCCGTCTATCTTTGGTATATATACTTTATCAAAATATTTCCAAAGAGCGGCGAGTTTGTTAATTTAACCTACATCATTAAGCATACTGTTTTTTTAAACAAATCCGTGAAAAATAACAAAGATACACAATTGTAACATTTACTGATAACCATTATATGTGTATTATATATGTAATTGAGTGAATGACGTCACATGATTTCAAACAGAATGAAATATCTGAAGAACTAACCATGGAAACCAATTTTTTCAAAAGACGTCACTTTACAGTTTTAGGAGTTCTTTCGTTTGAGACAATAAAAATTTTAATGACAGTGCCACTTTAAAGAATTATTATGGTTTGTATGTTACTGAAAATCCTGTAATTCCTGTCCTTCCTGGGTTTCCAAGCAGCACTCGATTTCACCGCGGGGTGCGACAATTCGACAGTTCATTTCGACTACTTATCAGTGGCGTGCTGGCAGGGGGGGCCGGGGGGCCACGGCCCCCACAGCTGGCAATTCTTGGAGGGCGCAAAAATGAAAAGGGGCGCCAAATTTTGAAAGTGGGTGGGAAAAAACGCATTTGCAAAAATATAGTTACTTCCGCCAAGAAAAGATGTGTTTAATTCATAGGCTTATAAACAGACTAAGCGCATAGACTGCAACAAAGTGATATATTAAATTGCAGACTATTTTGTCTAACCGTATTTGCTAATTTGCTAGCCTACCTCACGGCTCACACAAAATCGTTCATATATGATCAGTGATCACACGCAATGTCTCATTGCCGGAATATTGGTCAGATTTCGGAGCGATCACGGGAATTATGCCCTTTTTTGCTGGTATTATGCCTTTATTATGCATCACGAGAGCGGCGCAAATTAGATAGTTTTTATATGATAATTTTAAGTTGTATACGCAATTTAGTTGTTTGTGCAAGAAACATCATGACTCATGAGTAATGTAAGTAATAAGATGATGCTGAAACGCGCCATTTTGGCAGCCAAGCAAGGAAACCTTAAAATGCATATGCGTGGGGTCCGTGTGTTATTGTATAAAGGAGCTGTAAGTTGTAAATCTATTCAGATCACTAGATCAGTAGAGAATATAATTGGAATTAGTCAGCATTTCCCAATTCAAGTACTACTACTAAATTCTATAACTAAATTGCAAATTTCGACACGTTATAATCCCGTTTCCTGACCATCAGATTTCTGTCAAACCTTCCCCCAAAAGTCCAGGAAATGGCATTTCAGAGACCCTAAATTCAAAAATTTTCCGAGGGGGCATGCCCCCGGACCCCATAGATAAACTTCGCACCTGCGGCGCTCGGTTCGTGCCTTCGTCCCTCGTTTATCAAGCGTTACAATATAGGGGGCGCATATTAGTTCATAGCCGACTGCCCCCCCCCCCCAGAAAAATAGTACCCAGCACGCCACTGCTACTTATACGGCTATGTCAATTAAGGTTGTCCCCGAGCAAAACGGAAAAGTCGAATACGAGCGCGAAAGGCTGCTGGGACTCGCTATGAAAATTCATTAATTTTTTAGGGATTCCCAGCAGCCTTTCGCGCTCGTATTCGAATTTTCCACTTTGCTCGTGGACAACCTTAATTGAAATAGCTGTATACGACTCGCGAAGTTATCAGGATTTCTTTGTAAGACAACTGCTTTCGTGTGTAGCTACGTCTATTTAAGATTAAAATATAGATGAAGATTTTTAACCGGCTGTTGTCATAAAAGCTGCAACTGGAATGTGCGTTTGGAAATCAGGTATGTTCAATTACATGTTTCATATTATTCTGTAGCCTGCGTGCAGCCTGACTTTTTGATGGGGAAGGGGGGAAAAGTCAATCTGCGAATCAGAGAACAATACCGTGTTCGCGCTATCTTTTGAATTGCATGGATTTATGTATTCAAACGTGATTGGCTATTGCTCAGAAGCTTAATACACGCGCTACGATTGGCCAATTCGTTAATATATTCAGTTCAACAAAATGTGATATTTAGCAAAATGGCGTCTTTCGAGAAACGAATTTTGCAAAAAGCTATTGATGAGTGCAAATCTCAATTCAAAATACAACACTTGTTGATAGAGCAGAAAGAAGCAATCGAGATATTCTTTCAAAAGAAAAATATCTTCATAAATTTACCTACAGGCTTCGGGAAATCCTTAATTTACCAGTGTTTACCGTTTGTGGCAGACGTGCTATATGAAAGACCTCGAGGTTCCA